ATGGGACACTGTCCTACTTCTCTCCCCAAAGTGTCCCTGTGCTTCTGGTGCTGGGCAGGATGGTTCCCTCAGGCAGGGACGGGGCTGCAAAGGGCCGTTTAAACCTCGGCTCCCTCCCGCCCCACAGAAAACCACAGTTCCTCTGTAACCCTTCAGACAGGGTTTAAATTCATGTCCAAGTGTGAGACCACACTCGGGAGAAGATGAAAAGCTCAGCAGCATCCATTTCCCAGGCGGTGCTGATGAAATAAGCTGTGCTCCACAGATTTGTGTGTTACAGCTGTCCCTGAGGTCCCTCTCGGCCCTGAACCTTATTTAAGCATCACCTTTCACTACGTATTTGGGTTTTTTCCCGTAATAGCTCCTCACAGGTGGTTTTAATTCAGACTTTCTCATCAGCCTTGTCTCTCCCTGCCTGACAGCACACTGGTCCCTCCGCACAGCGACACTCCCGTGTCCCGAGGGCTGTTCCCCGGGGAGCTGCTGCCTCGGGGTGACACCGGTTCAGCCCAGCACCTCTGCGGGGATGCTGCAGCCCCAGGCTCCAGCTCCAGCGAGACCAAACAACTCAGCACCCCAAAAAGCTCAAGCCCTGGGAACAACCCTGCTACCTGCACCCCTGCGAGCATCCTTGCTCCTCCTCCTCCTCCTCCTCCTCCTCCTCTTCCTGGCAGCGCCCTCGCCCCCCCCCACCCCAGGACCCCACAGGGGCTGCAGGGCCCTGTACAGCAGCTCATGCCCCCAGCCCTGCCCGGGGCAGTACCTGCAGGTGCCACACCCAGCCACGCCTTGCCACGCCCTGCCACGCCCCGCCAGCCGTGCCCCTCCTGCCCCCTAGCGGGGAAGTCGGCGCGGCAGCGGCGCTGGGCTGGGCTCGGGGTTAGGCTGGGGCTAAACTGGGCTCGGGGCTGGGCTGATCTGGGACCGGGGCTAGGCTGGAGCTATGCTGGGGCTGGGACCGGGGCTAGCTGGGGTCGGGTTGGAGCTGGGCTGGGATCAGGGCTAGGCTGAGGCTGAGCTGGGGTCAAGGGGAACGCAGCAGCGCTGCAAAGCCCGCCTTCCGGGGGGCACCGGGCAGCCTCCAGCCCCGGCTGCGGTGCCCGGTGGGACGGAGATTTCTCTCCGCTCCCGTCCCCTGCCCCGCCTGCAGGAGCACCCACCAGACAGGGACTTTTCTCCGGTCTCTCTGCACCAGGAGCAAGTGTAAAACGGAGTAAAACCACGTCGGGGAGCCCCCGGTTCCCCACCGCCCCGCCCGGGTCCCGTGGGGAGCCCCGAACAGGCTGAGAGGGCGCCGGGAACCGGGAGCGGGCTGCGAACGGGGCAGGTAGAAAGCACCGGGTCCCCGGGCTGAGCTGCAAAGGGGGTCGGCTTGTAAACAGGACCGGGAGTGCGAACCGGGCTGCGAACGGGGCCGGGGTGTGCAGCACCGGGAGCCCCAACCGGGCTGCGAACGGGGCCGGGGTGTGCAGCACCGGGAGCGCGCACCGGGCTGCGAACGGGGCCGGGGTGTGCAGCACCGGGAGCGCGCACCGGGCTGCGAACGGGGCCGGGGTGTGCAGGACCGGGAGCCCCAACCGGGCTGCGAACGGGGCCGGGGTGTGCAGGACCGGGAGCCCGAACAGGCTGCGAACGGGGCCGGGGTGTGCAGGACCGGGAGCCCCAACCGGGCTGCGAACGAGGCCGGGGTGTGCAGCACCGGGAGCGCGCACCGGGCTGCGAACGGGGCCGGGGTGTGCAGCACCGGGAGCGCGCACCGGGCTGCGAACGGGGCCGGGGTGTGCAGGACCGGGAGCGCGCACCGGGCTGCGAACGGGGCCGGGGTGTGCAGCACCGGGAGCCCCGAACAGGCTGCGAACGGGGCCGGGGTGTGCAGCACCGGGAGCCCCAACCGGGCTGCGAACGGGGCCGGGCGCTGACTCAGCCGCCGCCGCCCCGGACCGTGACGCGCCGAGGGGCGGTCGCTGCCGCCTCCATATAACGCGGCGGCGGCGGCCGTGCAGAGCTCATACCGGCCTTTCCTTCGAGGGGAGAGGGGCTGAGCAGCCGGGCTCACATCGCCTTCCTCCACCTCCTCTTCCTCCTCCTCCTCCTCCTCCTTCCTCTCGCCGCAAGCTGCACCTTCGCCGGCTTCAATGAAACTGGCAGCAATGATCAAGAAGATGTGTCCCAGCGAGGCCGAGCTGAGCATCCCCGCCAAGAACTGCTACCGCATGGTCATCCTGGGCTCCTCCAAGGTGGGCAAGACGGCCATCGTCTCGCGCTTCCTCACCGGCCGCTTCGAGGAGCAGTACACCCCCACCATCGAGGACTTCCACCGCAAGTTCTACAGCATCCGCGGTGAGGTCTACCAGCTCGACATCCTGGACACGTCGGGCAACCACCCCTTCCCAGCCATGCGCCGCCTCTCCATCCTCACAGGTACTTGTCTGGGGAGCACCAGGAGGAAGGGAGGGGTTCCCTTTGCCAGATTTCAGGTGTTCTTGCCCAGTTTGGAGGTGTTTCCCCAGTCCCGGGAGGAGGGAGGTGGGATTTTGTGTGTGCACGGGGTAGACAGGAGGACGCAGGACCCAGGTCCTGCTCAGTCCATCCCTCCCCAAGCCTCTATACAGCTTAGGCAGTGGGTGTCAGGGTGTCCCCATCCCTACAACCATCTCACATTCCCTCTTTGACCCCAGGAGACGTGTTCATCCTTGTCTTCAGCCTGGACAACCGGGACTCCTTTGAGGAGGTGCAGCGCCTGAAGCAGCAAATCCTGGAGACCAAGTCGTGCCTGAAGAACAAAACCAAGGAGAACATAGAGGTGCCCCTGGTTATCTGCGGCAACAAGGGTGACCGGGACTTTTACCGGGAGGTGCAGCCCCGGGAGATCGAGCAGCTGGTGGGAGGGGACCCCAAAAAATGCGCCTACTTCGAGATCTCGGCCAAGAAGAACAGCAGCCTGGACCAGATGTTCCAGGCGCTCTTTGCCATGGCCAAGCTGCCCAGCGAGATGAGCCCCGACCTGCACCGCAAGGTCTCGGTCCAGTACTGCGACATCTTGCACAAGAAGGCGCTGAAAGGCAAAAAGCTGCTGAAAGAGGGGGGCCGGGGCAGCACGGAGGAGGCGTACGGCATCGTGGCCCCCTTCGCCCGGCGACCCAGCGTCCACAGCGACCTCATGTACATCCGGGAGAAAGCCATCGGCGGCGGGCACGGCAAGGAGAAGGACCGCTGCACCATCAGCTAGGAGCCCCCGCTCGCCCCGCGACGGGAAGGAAGGGAAGAAGGGAAGAAGGAAAGAAAGAAGGGAGGGGGGAAAGATGCTCATTTCCGAATTGACTTTGGGCAGGCAGGAGGGTGGGCAGGCGCCCACTTGGGCAGAGGAGGGGGGGGGGGGGTGTCGCCTCTTCCACAGACTCCTTCCTCCCGAAGGATCGCTTTCATCAGCTCCCTCCCCCGGGGGTGAATTTTGGGAGCAAGGGATGCGGAGGGGGAGGCTTTGGAGGGCAAGAGGAGGGTGCTGCTGGGACCAGGCTCCTCCGGGCAGAGAGACGGGGAAAGGGGGAGCTGCCAGGCGGCGAGGCAGGAGGATGAGTGTGAAGGGCACGGACCTTGGTGTTTCTTTCCCTCCCGAACCACTCAGCCTCGGGCAGTACCTTCAGGAGGGAGGGCAGAGGCCTGCCAGCACCTGCCTGGGGCTTTGGGGTTGGTTTTTTGTTGTTTTGTGTTTGTTTTTTGTTGTTTTGTTTTGATTTTTTATTTTTTTAACTTGAGAAGCTGTGCACGGACTCTGGCTCTGTGTTGTGCGTTCGTCTGTGTCTGCAAAACACGTGCAGAAGACACTCCTAAGCTGTTGCAAAGACATTGCAGAGTTACAGCCCCGATGGACCAAAAAACTGACTCTTGTTTACATTTGTCTTGTCTGATTTGCAAGATTTGGGGGGGGAGGGGGGGTGGGAAGGGTTTTTTATATAATAATAGGCACTTTATGTAGGTATTGTTTGTCATTGACATGAACAAAAAAATCTTCAAGTGTTTCTACCGTGGGTGAAACTTGATGTTTTATTTTTTCTACAAATTAATAAAATCTTTTTAAAACGACAGCTGTGGGTTTGCCTTTGCTTCCTCGCCTAGCCTCGTAGCAAAATCAAATCCTGTTAAACCGAGACCTGAGCCCAGCTCCGAGGTGCTAAAAACAGCCTCTCAACTCAATCCCTTTATTACCCCATTTTCTCCGACTCCCAGTGCAAAGGTTTCCGTCGCTGCAAGCAGCCAATTTCTTGCCACACAGGGTAACGAGGGGCCACGCACAGAGTTAGTTACTCAAACGGGTCACCAAGCCAGGACTCTTTCCTCACTTCACTAACACCAAGTGACGATCCTGCCAGCCCCATGACATGCCAGGCATTGGCATGTCATTCACTGCAGAAACCAACCAAACTGACATCACTTCGTTATAAAGAGCTGATTGTGTTTTGTGCTTTTTCCCAGTTAACCAAGCACACTTTAATGATGTCAACAAAGAGTGATTCATTTACGCCCCGTCCGGGATATTGTTTTTATTTTGCAATATGAGTAAAGGAAGTACTTTGCTCGAAAGGTCACCTTTGCATCTGATATTTTTTAATCTCTTCCTAAGTAACAAGCTGCAGTAACCATTGCTAGAAGTGAAAGGCAAAAGGGAAAGTGCTTCAAAGAACAGCTCTCCCTGTCTCCAGATTCTGTTTCAGTTCATTTTCAGTCCCCGCTCCCCCCTCAAGCAGCAGAACAAATCTACGTTTAATACATATTGACAGCAAAAAAATGCTATCAAAGCCACAAAACTAAGATGGGTGAGTGAGACTGCAAACCAAACCACTTCAGTTTGTTTGAAACTTGGATTCAAGTTGACAGAGTTAACTTGTTCCTGTGCTAGGTGCCAGACATTTCTTTGGAAACATGCTGTTTCTTCCAGCTCTGCATATGCCCTGATTTCACAGGAACAGCAACTGGCAAAAAAAGTGAAAACACCATCCAGGCATGAGACACAAGAATTTATTGACCTGAGACAGGCAATGGCTGGCAGAAAGGTAATTTCAGTAATAAAGAGCGTACATTGTGCTTTGTTTATCTTGGTGTTCTGCTTTACTCAGAGTTTACACACTGGCACCTTCCCAAAGAAAGTACTAGTGAAGTATTCCAGCAGGGACAGAGTAATCTCTGCTACAGGTGAGTTGCAACCACCTCAGCTCCCAACGAGCAGAATTACTTGCCTTTTGGTTTAGGAAAGGAAAAATCCTTTCCAAACAGACCTCACTTCTCTTTTTTTGAGGGCATGAGTGCTGCCCACCCTCAGATGCTGGTTCTCAACACATCCTGTACTCGCTAGCTGGTTTTTCATTTCTTCCACTACTGACCTTCACCATCTTCCAGCACAGTTCAGAGAACTGTGAGAAGATTCAAGGTCCTGCTTCACCTTTGTGAGTTGGCGAGATGCAGGGCTGCTTACCAGGTTGTCATCTGCCACCGTAACAGCTCGCAGAGGGACAGAGGGCAGGGAGCCCTGGGATCTGTCTAAATGCGATACAACATTCAAGAGCTTTCCATCAGCTGTTGGCAAATGTTCAAGCAGCTCCAACGCTCGTGTTTGTGGGAAGCCCCTGGAGCACTTCGGATGTGGAACTGACCCGTCCTGTTGAGCCTGACTTCTGTCACATATGGAATAACTAAAAGCTCTTGTCATTTATGCCCTTTGGTTTGATTCTGCTTGCCCTTCCTCTGCTTTAAGAGCAAGCTGCGCTCGCCCAAGGCTTATGCACCCAAACCCTACCAAAATCCACTCCCCTGGCAGTCTCTGCTTTGCTTTCCCAAGTCACGCCACTTCCAAAAAAGCCATGTAGAGACACAGGAGCTGGGCCCAGGCTACGCGCGGCCTCTGTGCTGCCAAAGTCCTGCCCCTGCTCAGCCCACATCCACTCAGTGAATACACAAGAGGGGTAGTTTGGAATTTCTAAATCTTCACTCAACTCAGACACAACCATCACTTGTTTAAAAAGAGAGAGAGAAATACAAAAGTAATTGAAAGCAATTATTCCTCTTTCGACACACGCAGACTGGAAAGCGCCCCAGAGACCCTTTCCAGCAGCAGGGCCAAACAGCTCATGCTTCCCTCTTATGCCCCTCCTTGAAGTTTGGCCACATTTAAGTGAAAAAAATTGCAGAAAATGCCTCCTTTTTTCTCATTGAAGTTAACTAGCAGGTACTTTGACCCTTAGTGAGGAGAAAACATAACGTCTCCTGCTTGTTTGAATGTAAAAAAAATACCCAACCCCACCCCAAGAGAAAACAGAAGAGATGCATACATAAATGCACAGTCCTACAGCAGATCAAAGTGAATGTACCGCTGTAAACATCATACGTGAAGCACACAGTGTTCTGGTTCAGTGTCACACGCCTGTGATCCACACAGACACAACTTCAGAGCAATGAGACCAAAAAAGCATAAAAGAAAGAAAAGCAAACTTCCGCCACCTTTTCCTCTCCTGTTCAGCCAGAAGAGGAGGCATCTCGGACCCAGAGAGCTGAGCTCCTACTCCTTGGGGATTTCAAACATGCAGAGGCTCTTGTATTTCTGCAGCAGCTCATTTTTGGTCCGGACCTGCTCCCGCAAGTTCTGCAGCTGCTGCTGCTGCTGCTCTGGGCTCACGCCGATGCCGGGCATGGAGCTGATCAGCTTCCTCATGTCCTGGAATTTGTTCTTGAGCTCATTCAGCACCTGGTGAACATCCTGGCTGTCCTTGTCCATGCTGCAGAGGAGAGAAAATGGAAACACTGTTCAACTCTCCTACTGGAAAGAGAACGACCTGCTGGGGCAACTGTAATTTCCAGTGCAACCAGAGCTTAAATTGGAATTCAGTGGGAAACTTTTACTCTTGGTATCTAACCATACACACCTAATTCACCTACCCCAATAAAATGGACACAGATAGATTTACAGACTGGGTAGCCTCTGGGAAAACTGATTTCCTGATAATTTCCAGCACACAATCCACTTACCTCAGGACCCATCAATCGGGTTAGGAGCCTGTCTGCAGCATTAAAACATTACCATGGAGCAGGCTAAATTCTCCCTGTTTGAACTCCCCTATCTCTCTTTGGGGAAGGTAAAATTACAAACGTATGTCGTGTGTAGGCACCTGGAAAAAAAGATCTCAGTCTCACCAGTGACCTGTTGCTGCTGTAATACACAGAATCAATGCAGTCAAAACAGCTTGACAACAGAAAACAGAAACTGTTCCCCAAAGCATCAGAGAGCATCCAATGGCAGAGAAAATGGTACTTTGGAGCTTTAAAATGACTCTCTGGGGATATATACCTAATAAAAGAGAAGCAATAGCTTACTTTTTTGTTTGTTTGTTTGTTTTGTTTTGTTTTGTTTTTTTTTAAGAGCAGCACAGTTGGTTCTGCAGCCAGCTCTGCACTTTTCAAGGATCAGTGTTGTCTGAGGCAGCGTCTGCCCTCAAACCCTCGTTAGTATCCGCCTCCAAGTTTGTTAGCACCAGCAAGAAGTTTTACTGATTTCGGGCAAAAGCAAGTCCCTGCTTCCAGGGTGCCTGTTAATAATGAGAGCAGGATTCTAATGGTCTTTGAAAACTGGGAGCCTGTTCAATAGCCAGGCCTAAAAATAAATCTGCTTGGCATGACCAGGGCAGAGAGGTGCTTGATTATAACTTTGGGGAATCATGACATGACTGAGAGTAAAACTTTTAACCAGATGGTCGCCGTTTGTTTCAAAAGCCTGTTGGAACAAAATATTCATTACTCCCTTCTAAATAAAACTGCAGCTGGTACTATAAAGTATGGCCATTATGCAGGCATTCATGGTCAGGTCAGCAGTGGAAAAATACAGGCACACACACAACTTCATGGCACGTCTGGGGAAGGATGGGTTGACACTGCCTTTAATCCACCATAGCTGCAGGCTGGCTTTGAGAGCAACGTCCTCCCCGCTCCACATCTCCCCAAGTCTTGTTCCCTTCCCCACACACAGAGAAGCAAGGCTGCCTGTCCGGCTGGTTCACCCAAAGGAATAATTATTTCAGGTTGTTTTCTGTTTTGGTTTTTTTTTTTTTTTAATTTATTCTTCTGGTGGGTGGTTTTCCTGCTGGATGAAGTCACTGAAGCGAATCCCTCTTTGAGGGCATGGACAGGCAGGGGTGAGGAGGTGCGGGAAGAGGCTGCAGCTGCCTGCAGTAACACGGGATTCAACGCAACGTCCAAGCACAGCCTGTGCTGATGGACCGCACACAAGACCTGGCTTAAGGCACGGCGTTCTTCGTTACACCAGCACAACCCACCATCAGTGGAGCTACGCACTGGGACCTCAGCAGCGATGCCATTTGACTGCACAAGGTTGAAAACATCAGCCAGCCCTGCTTGGGAAAAACTTTCTCCGGACCCAAACAACAGGAAAGAGCACGTGCCCTTGAATGTAAGCAAATTTAGAGGCTACATCCTCGCTCCCGAGCACAGAGTCACCTTGGAGATGTGTCTTCATGGCTGAGTCAGTGTCAAAACAGCAGGGCTGGGCTCTGCAACTAGCAGCAGTGTTAAAGGATAATACATTTGCCATCTGTCAGGGACATGAGGCAGCACATCCCACCGCTTGCCTCTGTGGTCCTACCCACCTGCAGCACTGTTCACCGCACCTACGTCTGCTCAAGCCGCCCAGGAAATGCTGTGTGCGAAGCTGAGGGAGGTAGTTGGGTAGTGGGAGTGGGTGGCTCAGCAGGAACGGGCACAAGATATCCTAGGGACTGTCATCTGCGGGTCACCATGACCTGCTCAGTGACATACAGGAGTCTGAGAGGTGTTGGCCCATGGCTGCTGCCCACTTTGCTTAGGTACATGCATGCAGCTGGCAGTTGGCTTAGCTTCACTTGTGTGGTCTGGACAGATGGGGAAAAATCAAGATTAGCGGCAACTGTGCACCCCCGGAACAACTGGGAAACTGAGGGAAAACAGAGGGTTTGCATTTTCACACCAGTTCTGTATCTGGACTGGTGTGTCGGGAGGTATTCAGTCTTTCCTTGACATGGCTCGGGCTGCAGAGCGATTCAGGGTGAACCTTTCTCACCTTTCAGACATGCTTCATGCAAGCGAAACATCAGTAGGACACAAACAGGCCTCAGCTCCTAAATAAGCCAGTAACAAGGGAATTCGTGCTTCCCACATCCCTCGCCTCGCCCCACAGCATGCCCAGGCGAGAGCACGGAGCTGGCCTGGATGGCTTTTCATGGCAGAGCCATGCCCCTACCGGGACCTCAGAGAAGAATCTCCGAAGGGGTTATCTTGGGCCAGAAACATTGCAGCTCTTGGGACTCTTGTACAAGTACCTTTTACGCCTACAGTACTTATCTTGAGGCAGGAAGAGAACAATTTAACACATACCACTGCAGAAGCCATCCTCCTTTTTACAACTCCCCAGAAATGGGCTGTACTCCTGCTGCAGCACTGCCTGTACTTTCTGAGGCTGTTATCAGCCAAACAGTACAGCTATCTGGAGCAATATCCAGCACAAGTAGAACGCTCCTGCTCCTGGGTGTTAACGGTGGGGCAGTGTACCTGGGCCACGGGAGCACCCGCAGCACCCAGAGACCCAAACACCACCCAGGTACTGGTGTGACTCAGAGCAGAGACGGGCGTGGGGCTGTCCCCTGACACTCCTCCCAGGAACTCCGGCTGGGAGAAAAAAAAAGGGCAAAAGGAGATGCTGCGAGGTTGGAGAGCATCACTAGGGAGGTGACCTCATTGCCCTGCTACCCATCCGCGGCACCCTGAGGATGCTGGCAGTTGGAAAGCATAATTAGAAGGAGGATCCCATCGTCCTGCTCCTCTTCCAGGGCATCCCAGGGATGTTGGGGGCTGGGGGAACATCACGGGGAGGGGGATGCCATTGCCCCACTCCCTCTCCAGCGCACCCTGAGGATGCTGGCAGGGGGAAAGCATCGTTAAAGCGGGGACCCCGTTGCCCCACTCCCCATCCGGGGCACGCCTGAGGATGCTGGGGGTGGGGGGGCGTCGCTGGAGGAGGCACCCCCACAGCCCTGCTCCCCACCCGGGGCACCCCGCGGATGCTGGGGGTCGGGGAGCACCCTCGGAAGGGGGGGGGGGGGGGGGGGGGTGACGCCGGAGCGGGGTGAGGCGCCGGGGCCCAGCAGGGCGGGGGGGAGGCGGCGGCCGCCGTTACCATTTGATGATGTCGTGGACGAGCGGCAGGAAGGAGAACTCCTCCTGCGCGGGGGGCGGCGGCGGCGGCGGCGGCGGCTTCTGCTCGGCGGGCGGCTCGGGCGGCGGCGGCTCCTCGGCGGCGCGGGCGGCGGCGGCGGCCCCCGAGGCCATGGCGGAGCCCGGCCGGCCCCGGCGCCGCGCAGTGACGGAGCCGAGCGGGGCGGAGCGGAGCTGGGCCGCGCTGCGCTGCACCGCCCCGCCGGGCCCGCGCCGGGGCCTTTCCGTGCGCCGGGCCCGCGCCGGGGCCTTTCCCGGAGCCTTTCTCTGCGCCGGGGCTAGGGCCGAGCTTTTGTCTGCGTCTGGCTCTGGTTCTGAGCCTGAGCCTGAGCCTGAGCCTGCGTCTGGGTCTTGGTCTTGGGTCTGGGTCTGAGCCTGGGTCCGGGTCTGGGTCTGGGTCTTGGGTCTGGTCTTGGGTCTGGCTCTGGTTCTGAGCCGGAGCCTGGGTCTGGGTCTGGGTCTGGGTCTTGGGTCTGGTCTTGGGTCTGGCTCTGGTTCTGAGCCTGAGCCTGCATCTGGGTCTTGGTCTTGGGTCTTGTGTCTGGGTCTGAGCCTGGGTCTGAATCTTGGGTCTGGCTCTGGTTCTGAGCCTGCGTCTGCGTCTGGGTCTTGGTCTTGGGTCTGGGTCTTGGTCTTGGGCCTGGGTCTTGGGTCTGGGTCTGGCTCTGGTTCTGAGCCTGAGCCTGTGCCTTGGTCTTGGTCTTGGGTCTGGGTCTGAGCCTGGGTCTGGGTCTTGGGTCTGGGTCTTGGGTCTGGTCTTGGGTCTGGGTCTGGCTCTGGTTCTGAGCCCGAGCCTGCATCTGGGTCTTGGTCTTGGGTCTGGGTCTGAGCCTGGGTCTGGGTCTTGGGTCTGGGTCTTGGGTCTGGTCTTGGGTCTGGGTCTGGCTCTGGTTCTGAGCCCGAGCCTGCATCTGGGTCTTGGTCTTGGGTCTGGGTCTGAGCCTGGGTCTGAGCCTGGGTCTGAATCTTGGGTCTGGCTCTGGTTCTGAGCCTGAGCCTGCGACTGGGTCTTGGTCTTGGGTCTTGGGTCTGGGTCTAAGCCTGGGTCTGAGCCTGGGTCTGGGCCTGGGTCTTGGGTCTTGGGTCTGGGTCTGAGCCTGAGTCTGGGTCTGGGCCTAAGTTTGGGCCTGGGTCTGGACCTGTGCCAGGGTCTGGGCCAGGCCTTTCCCTGAACTTGGACTTGAGCTTGTGCCTGGGCCAGGCCCAGGTCTCGGTCCAAGCTGGGGCTGGGGCTTGGGCTGGGCCTGAGCTTGGGCCGTGCCCCTGCGACCTCCCCGCCGAGCCCTGGCACATCGCCCTGCACAGGGCCGAGCTCTGCGCAGGAGGTTGGAGGAAGGACAGAGCGGGGGGGGTCCTGCGCCCCGAGGGCTGGGTGAGGAAAAGGGATCCCCCTGAACCATCCTGTGGTGGTTCCTGGGTCTCCCCAAACCATCCTGCAGTGGTTCCCAGCCCTGCGGTGTGCTCAGATCGCTGTCCCAAGCCTGCATGCCTCCCTCCCTTTTGAGTGCAATCCTTGGGGGCTGAGGGAAAAATTGCATTATTTTGTGTTAATAACCACAGCAGGGTTTTGCTGTCTCTTTTAGATCCCAGTTTTTGGCCGTAGTTTTTCATTAGTTGGTGTCTTTAGTTTGACTTTAATGCAACTGGGGACAATATGTCGGGGGGGGGGATGAGTGACAGGGACATAGTCTTTGTAATGCCTTAAAGACGGATGCTTACGCGGGACCAGGCTTTCTGCCCGAGGGAGGAAGCACGGCTGACATCAGTCAGAGGGAAAGCAAGCTGGAACATTGGCTGAGAGCCTGGGCTGGAAACTGGAGGAATCTGGAGGAAGAAAGACAGAAATCTGGTGTCAGGGCTGGGAGAAGGGGAAGAAATGGGCCTCTGGCATGACTGGCCCGCGGCAGGAAGAGGCGGCTCGAGATGGTGTGTGGTCGAGGCTGATGGAGGATGATGTTCCTCTGCACCAAACAGCCTCAGAGTTTTCTTCAGAAAACAGCTGCTGCTGTGTCTAAACCCTTCCTTTGACACAAAGGATCGCAGCACTAATAATACCAGCCACAGTCATGAGTTTTTCTTCCTGTGTTGGCTTAGAGAAAATGCATAATTTAATTTTTCATTTGAAATAAGTCCCACTGCTCAACAGTTACGGGCAGAGGATGACTGGGAAGGCAATTTTCTTTTTTAAACCAATTTCTTTCAAAAAGCAAACAGAGGCTATTTATATATCAAATGAGAACGCTGGTAACCATTTAAATGCGAGGAGTATTGACTGTTTGCTCTAAATATAGCAGATGCAATCGCTCACTTTGTTCCTACTGTCAGGAATAGATCCCAGCTCAGGCGCTGATGCTGGAATGTGCGAAGGAGCCTGGGGGAGCCCAGGTCCTGCTGAGCAGATCCCTGCGGGGAGGCTGGTGGTATTTATGGTCCTTGACTGAGCCAAGCAGGAGGTACAGGATGCTGTGTCCTTTGCATGGGGCTGAGCCGAGGGGTTCATTTGTGTCACTTTTTATGGGCTGTTTCTAAAGTAAGACTTGATTCAGGCTCCGCAGGGGTCACTTTCCTCTGTACTGTGCTGGTTTTAACTCTCCCCTTGACTTTATGGAGGAGGGCGGCTAATTGCTAGGCTGCTGGACGCCTGCCTCTGTTGGGTGAGTCAGGCAGTCGTTAGGGCAGGTGACAACACGCAGATACCATTCAGCCATACCAAAAACGCTGCCAATAGCATTTCTTTGTGCCACTCAATTCCCATTTTAGGTCATGTTTTCCCACAGCACCTGGAACACACAGCTTTATCTGGTTGGCTTTCTCCCTCTCCCTGCCTCTCACATTCGTTTTCTCATGGGAACAGCTCCTCCAGCTCCTTCAGGTGACCCATCTGTGTCCTTCGGGGCTTGTCATGTCTCACGGGGCAAGTCCAGGGGAGAGCGAGGATGTTTTGTGGTAAGGCTGACGGGCTTCTCCATCCCTGAAGGTGCTGGTGAATTGGTCAGATGAGACGGTGTGGTCACCATTTCAGTGTCAATCTGTGCGAGGGGCACAGTAGAGCTGTTGTCTGCGCTGTGAAGGTGTGGCCATATCCCTGGTGAGGACTTCAGGGAGAGGCGAGACTCGGCTGACAGGTCTGGCAGGGAAGAGAAAACGTGCTTTTGGGCAGGCAGACAAGCGTCGACCTCAGGTGAGGAGCAGTGGTGGAGTGCCCTAATTTTCACTTGCCTTTGTGGAGCTCCAAGCTGTGAGACCCTTGCTCCCCTGGGATGACTACTGGATGACCTGGCTTACGTCCTTGTAATGCAATTCCTAATAGATAACACCAACAACATGGTCTTCCCTATCCACATCACTCTCTAGGCCTGTCAGGGTCTCCATCTCAGACGGAAGGTCTGTGTCTGTCCATCCGTTGGTCTCGTGGAGCTGGTGTTGGTCTGCAGTTCTTCCTAATTTTCAGTCTGGATTTTTTTCACCCACTGACAGTTCCTCAGCAGAAGGGCTTGAATGAGCAACCTGTGAAAACTCCCAAGTGAGGCAGCTAAAGCATGAACAAAGATGCTTAGTGTTGAATGAAAAGAATAATTTCCTCCTGGAATAGGTAATAAACCCAAAGTGCAAATGATTGACCTGTTTCTCACATTTGATTGGGGCTCTTTGTATAATTCACTTGCTGGACAGCCAGTTTCTGAAATGTGCAAATGTCTCCAGACCATCTGATCTCCTGCACCTCAAAGCCATCGTGTACACTCATTGTTCACCCAAAAATTTGGTTAACCCATTATCCTAAACCCCAGCTGATCAAATAATCCATATCCAGAGCTTCTTTTGTTATTGCCTGTTTTCTTTACGGGACCAATGTTACTCTTTTTTTTTTTTTTTTTTTTTTTTTTTCTCCTGTCATTTCTATACAAATTGTCTGCTTATCTGCTTCCGAAGGTAACTTTTGAGGGATTTACCACCAGTCATTTAATTCAGCACCAGGTGACTCTGTGCCTTTCACCATTTCCTTACAGTGACTTGATGTTTTTATACTGATGGTCTGGCATTTAACCAGACTCCACTTCTCACTGCCGGACCATCTGGAGCTTGTGCTGTTGCCACCAGCTCTGTTACAATTTTTTACTGTGTGGCTATCACCAGGTTGAACTTTATCTTTTCCTCCTGTTCCTGCACTGCATCGTCAGCCTGAATTTTCTGTTTAAGTCTTGCTAAACTGCCGTGGTGGGATAAGTCTGCATTGCTAAATTGGGAAGGTGTCAGGGTTGTGGCTACCTGGAACGGGGTGATAGAAATGAGAAGTTACAGCTCCAGCCCTTGGCTGTGGTCAGCAGCACAGAAACGTTGGACCTTTTTGTTAGGTCACGGCTGTGATCCTGCAACTGCTCGGGTTCCTGGCCAAGATCCCCCTAATTTTGATGCCGGATGGGAATTTGGTCTCAAGTTCTGCCCGGTCTTGAGTCCTGACGTCCTTCAGGGACCATTTCAGGGCCCTGGTGTCCCAGGCATCTCGGGAGGTGCTGATGGGAACGGGGGGTTCATAAGCTGAGCTTCATCCTTTGAAGCAGTGGTTTAGCTGGAGAGATTTAGCCTCTCGGGGAGCGCGGCATACAGGACAGAGCTTGGGACAAGAGGTGGCACAGGAGTTTTGGCCAAGCCACCTGTAGCTCCGAGTTGTGTGTCGGAGCTGCAGGGCATTGGCCTGGCCATGAAGGCCAGCGCTTGGGTGCACCGAGCCTCGGCGGGGTAGGGGGGGAGAATGGGGGACGATTCAAGGGCGCAGGGAGTGTCCATTGATCTCCTGATGTTCACTGATGCCACCCCACTGCTGAGCAAACACGGAGGCTGGCCCAGGCTGCGTGCCACCCCCGGGGGAGGCAGCCAAGCCAGTACGTGGGCAAGGGGAGCATGGGGGGGGGGGGAGCTTCTTGCGTAAGGTCAGCTACGCAGAAGCATGGATCCAGGAAAACAGGCAGCCAGATGAGCCGCAGCCCCCAGCCTGGCCCATCTCCGGGTGAAAGTGGCTCTGGAGCTCGCTGTCTCTGTTGAGCAGCGCTGTGGCCGTGGGTCATCCTGGGGTGGTGGGTCTGGGGACCCACCAGGTCATCCCAGAGCCGGGCTCCAGCACTCCCAGCCTC